TCACCCCTTTATATGTCAGGCACGACCCGCTCGTCATTCCCTTCACCGTTCACTGTTAATTTAGTATGAATGACTACATGTACACAACCGAGTCTTTAAGCGTACAGTACCCTTGGCATCTCAGCCACAGCTGGGAGGCCGTAGCTGCTATCGTGGAGAGTTCCGCAAACAACCAGTGGTGAATCAGACGCATGTTTCTTGACGATTGTTAAGAACGAAAGAGGTTGTTGCAGAAGTGTGCAAGTTATGTACTGGTGTAGAACTACCGAAATTTGATATTTGTATGTGATATTGAGCTCTGTGTTCATTGACATGTAGCCTCTACCCAAAACAAATTACTCGAAAAGGTGGAGGTTAGTTTGGTGCTAACGATACATCACTAATACTGAAAAATAATACCAACTACTATAGCATGACCAGTAGTGCTGTAAATAACTAGCCGAGCACCGCCGCTACTCGGCGGGTAAGAATGAATGTCGTTCCTTGTGTTTTGCCTCGATTCCGCTCGCCACGGGCTCGCTTCACTACTCGCATGGTAGGTTGGCAGATTGTGGCTATGGCGGGCCCATAGGCCCGCGGGGTTCAGAAGGTGCCGCCTCGCTGCATTCGACAGCTTTTAGGCCAATCAAGACCACCTTCGCTGCGCTCGGCAGCCAGTAGGCATTTTAGAATAATTTTGTCCAATGATTTCTCCGGAAAAGCGTGACAGGCACGACAATTTAGTGCGATGCAATACATGTTTAAGATTTGGTTGTTTAGTCACATTCGAAATATGGGCCATTTTTTTAAGTGTATACCTTCGCTATAAATCATATGTACATGAAAGCTGGTTGGAGTCATTGTATGATGGGGCAGGTGTGACACCGCGGAAAGCGCATCGGTACTAAGGACGTACATGTTACGCAGCGTAATATATCTGGTCTTATTGTGCTGAGCGATGGAATGTCTCTTAGGGGGGAGCTCCTATCTTAAACTAAATGCCAGATGACAGGCATCGACTTATATTGTTAATTACTATTCGCCTACTTGTGTAAAAACATGAAGCGTGAGGAACAAACCTACGTAGAGTTCATCCTACTTCCTCCGTCCGAAAATATAAGGCATGTTTTAGAGTTAAAATCGTTTTAGCGTCAAAAGCGCGTTTTATTGGTGTCTGATTGGTCTAAAACATGCGTCAAAGCACGGCGGCTCTTCTGGTGCTTTTCGCTCGCATTTTGAATGAGTGGTTGACGAGCTACCAAAACAGCCACATTCTTCATTTTTCCTTTTATTCTTCGCAACAAGTCCAGATGAGCTCTAACACCGACGGCGCGCGCTGTAAAAGGAAGAACCTCACGTCAGAAGAGCGTGCTCAAGTCGTCGCAGCTCTTCTGCGCTCAAGCGTAAACTTGCAGCCGCCCAAAGCAGAGTTCGCCGCCTGTGCAGTCCGTTTTAGCTGTTGCGAGCGCCAGATCGCGCGGCTGTGGCAGCGAGTGGCCCAGGATATTCATGAAGGCAAATCTATCAACTACTCCAGCGGCAGAAAGGGGAAAAGCGGCCGCAAGTCAAGGCTAACGGAGGAGTTCCGCCTCGACCTCAACCACGCCATCACACTTACGCCGCTTGAAGACAGAACCAACATTCGTACTTTAGCTGACTCCTTCGGTATGTCTAAATCTACTCTGCATGACTATTTTCTCTCGGGGGTGTTCAGATGCCACACAGCATGCCTGAAACCGATGCTAAGTGACGAGCAGAGAGTTGCTCGAGTTCGGTTTGCCTCTGGATTTGTTCAGAAGACGGGAAGACATGGGCTGCAGATCGACAATATGATGGAGTATGTGCACCTGGATGAAAAGTGGTTTTATCTAGCTAAGGAGAAGCAGCGCTTCTATTTGGCTGAACACGAGGAGGATCCCCATACGACGGTCAAGAACAAGAATTATATCTTTAATGTTATGTTTCTTGTTGCTGTGGCTCGCCCACGTTGGGATCCTAGGCAACATAAAGTGTGGGATGGGAAAATTGGCTTGTGGTCATTTGCTATCTACGAACCGGCCGAGCGTTCAAGCAAGAATCGGCCTGCGGGGACGTTGGAACTGAAGACATACGCAGTGACTCGTGACATCTATCGGCAGTGTCTTTGCCGGTCGGTCATTCCCTGCATTAAGGCCCTTTGGCCTTCGGGCAAGCGAGTCATCTTGCAGCACGACAACGCAAAACCCCATGTGGCTGCGGATGATCCTGCTGTACTTGCGGCATGTGCGGAGGGCGGGTGAAGGATGCGCCTTCAGCCACAACCTGCTAATTCACCGGATTTTAATGCTGTCGACCTCGGTTTTTTTAGCTCCATACAGTCGCTCCAGCACAAGAAGAAGGCTAAAACTATCGAAGATCTGGTCAACAATGTCAACGAAGCCTTCAAGCAGCTTCATTACAGCGCTCTAGATAGAGTTTTCGTTTCTCTACAATCTGTGCTGATGGCTTCTATGGACGTTGACGGAAGCAACAAGTACGCCATCCCCCATCTTTCGAAAGCCACGTTGACGGATAGCCGTGGTCTTCTCCCGCAGTCCCTAGCTTGTAGTGACAGAATCTATCAGAAGGCAATAAATCTGCTAAGTTCGGCTGATACGAACCGAACTTAGTCTTATATTTTCGGACAGTGTTATGTGTGGCGCTGGTCTTATATTTTCGGACGGAGGAAGTAGATGATTTGTCTGGCTCAGATATCCTACTATTATATGTATGATTCTTATTGGGTCGGCCGACTTGCTTCCCATTTAAACATTTTTAACGGATTGCTATCGTGTTGCTTCATACGTTAATACTAGTACAGAATCTGAAATCAAGATCGAGGCCGCAATAGGATCTTGTTCGTGCGACAGAACCCTCCCAACTTGAGTCCTAAAATAATTCGGTTGTGCACTGAACAACCGAATTCGGATACGAAAGTAGATACTATCGGTACTACAATATGCCGTCGTTATACAGGACCATGCAGCTCGTAAAAACTGTTGATGTACTATCGGCAGTATGGATTTTTTAAGGCCGGTGATAAGAATATTACTTTAATCGTAAAAGATCGGTAAATGGTGTACACACTGGATGTACTGAAAACCACGATGTTTACACTACTCGGATGCTTGATGATAAAACTACAATGTCAAGATGACGACGAGTGTACTGTCCATCTTACAGGTGCTACTTGTACTGTATACTTCAAGTATATATGAAGTACATGTACTATATTCGAAGAATACAGTTTACTTCAAGCTTATTCACCGGGACGATGTGATGGTTTACAGCATCATGACAGTCGATTGAAAGCTTGAACTCCCACTAACGACAACGTGTATTGGTCGTTGGAGGGCTTATTTGATACTGATCGATTCCTACGTCCTTACCTGCCATCCTGGCAGTCCAGGAAGTCCGCATTGGTTACTCTATACGAGGCCAACTTCAAGCACGCCATTCCATACGGAATGCTGCAGCGCCTAGCTAAGCTTTACAAAGTAAGTGTACTACCGACCGTCACAGACGAATTACCACTACTGGATTTTCTTTAGAAGAAAACCCCAGCTAGAGTACATATCCATATACTCTCGCCAAATTATTAGATCGAACGTCTCTCGTACTTCAGCGTGTAGTTCGATTCAAGCGCCAGTACACACAGCGATTACGTGCTGAGCAGCAAACGTGTAATTGGCTCAATAACTACGTCCAATCGAAGACCAGTTTTTGATTGAAACCAGCGTTATTCTTACTCAACCAACCCTGAGCTACCCTTAGAATGCCATACAATATGCTTACAACACTACATTTAAACAATCTTCACAGCTGCTGATAAGTAGAGCCATGTATGAATTGAATGGATTTGGGTAATGTAGTCATGAATCTTCCATATAAAGCCACAAACTATAATACTACTTAACCACAACACTGTGAAGTACAGTGTCAGCTTTGGTCAGTGAAATCACGCTAAGCTTCTTCATGCATTGGCGACGCTGCCAACCTTCCTTTTTCCTTGACCAAAAAGTTAGTGTCTTTAGTTGCAACTGAAGTTTGAGTGACGACAGTTCGCATCCGACGCCTGGCAACTCGTACAAGGTAGTATATGCAGCACAATTATTAAGTCTTGACAGCCAACTGGATACGTTCGCTCGCGTAGTTACTTTTTTTACTCATTTATAAAAATGCTCAATCATTGCAATATTTCGTTGGTGGCTATTCTTCGGTATTGTTATAATAGTTTTCCGTGACGAGCCTAATTGTGAGTTTAATCCTATAAACTAGAATTACAGCCTTTGCGCATTTGTACGATTATTAAAAAGGCCCGACCAGAGAAGCTTAAGAGCACAAGTTGAACTGACAGTACCGGTATTATGTAGTGCACGGTCTGCTACTTCAGCCGCTGAAGGGGTCTAAAAATTTAACCTTTACATCCGTCATCACCTTGGCACATGCAGATCAAAAGTTTTATCATTAAACATCTGAACATCGCAAACATCGTGGTCTCACGACAGCGGTGTGTTACGGAACTTAACTTACGGTACCATCTCAAAGTAAATGTACCGGGCTAGCATGTATTATCATGTACTTCAAAGTATATTTTTTTTACATGTATTATTATGAGCAAAAGGCCACCAAACGTAAGCTTATCGTACCGGTTTCCCCCTGTCCTAAGCGAACGGCCGTGTGCGCAGCTTGTTGTAGGTTTTGGGTTGCTACACAAAATTAGTAGCTAAAACTTAAGATTTAAGTAAATTCACTGATACTTAAGTTGTTTATTTTAGCCAATAAAAAAGTGGACACGGCGGAATTCGAACCCGCGTCCAGTATTCTCGTGATCAAACCAACTGCCACATCCAGCAGCTAACCGGAATAGTTTGTTGAGCATCCGAGGTGACGGTCCCGGCCTACTTCAACGACTCGCAGCGTCAGGCGACTATATATGCTGGAGCTATTGCTGGTTTGAACGTGCTGCGTATCATTAATGAGCCGACGGCTGCTGCGATCGCCTATGGGCTCGACAAGAAAGGAGGCGAGCACAACGTGCTGATCTTCGATCTCGAAAGCGGCACGTTCGACGTCTCACTGCTAACTATTGAAGACGGGATCTTCGAGGTCAAGGCGACGGCGGGTGACACGCACTTGGGCGGTGAAGACTTCGACAACCGTCTGGTCGAGTTCTTCGTGACCGAGTTCAAGCGTAAGCACCGCAAGGATATGACGTCGAACCAGCGAGCTCTGCGTCGTCTTCGTACGGCGTGCGAGCGCGCCAAGCGGACGTTGTCCACTTCGGCGCAGGCGTACATCGAGATCGACTCGCTGTTTGACGGCGTGGACTTCAACTCGACCATCACGCGTGCGCGGTTCGAAGACTTGTGCAGCGATTATTTCCGCAAGACCACAGATCCTGTTGCGCAGGTTTTACGAGACTCTAAACTGTCCAAGAACCAGGTGAACGAGATCGTATTGGTCGGAGGCTCGACGCGTTCGAAGGTGCAGCAGTTGCTGAAGGATTTGTTCAACGGGAAGGAGCTGTTCAAGTCCATCAACCCGGACGAAGCCGTCGCGTACGGCGCCACCGTGCAGGCTGCGATTCTGAGTGGCAACGAGTCGTCTTCGAAGCTGCAGGACCTGTTGCTACTGGACGTCGCGCCGTTGTCGCTGGGCCTGGAGACAGCCGGTGGCGTCATGACTAAGCTCATTCCACGCAACAATAGCACTCTCAGCCCCACTGGAAAGTATCGTTCCTTGTCCACTACACCGAAGATTCTTGTGATGGCCATGTCCACCTTCGCAAACGGCTTGTATCTGCGCTGCCTGCTTTTTCCACTTCGATATCTGTTTTTGCTTGCGCTTTCTGTCTGAGCTAGATAAGGGCGGAAAGAAGTGAGCTATTGCTTTACTCACAGTATGCTTAGATTCCAGATATTGTAGTATGGTACGCTTGTGAGCATAGTCTACAGCAATACGAGTAAACCTCTTTGGCCTTCTGCCTGTTCCAGATGAGCGTGGCCTCCCCATGGTGTGTTCGGCATGTGACAAAGTCAAATGTGTGGCAGGAACAGTCTCGTAATTAACTGGTTGTGAGAGTATTTTTAGCTGCGGACATAATTCTTAAATGAAGAAATGTGATTGGCTAAAATAAAAATTTGCTCAGGACAAAACTTCGCTTAGGACAGGGGGAAGGCGGTATCATACTTTGATTTGTCTTTTTATTTTCGTATAGAAATATGTCCAGCAAAACTTAAATGCAATTATCGTCTATAAAATACTTATTTTCTTTAATTTCAATTTTCTGTAGGGTTAGAATTGTAGCATTTCGGTAGCAGAAAACATAACCCACTGTCGAATTTCGTAACGCGACTTTCTGCAAGAATCTTTGAGACAGTACTTACTATACATGTACCAGGAAATTGCGCTCGGATAGACAACCCCGAGGAGGCTTGTTGAGGCTCAACGGGCGATTTTCAACGTGAGCCGAGCCAACGAGCCTTTTTGAGCTTCCAACCCCTGACAATATCCAGAATATCGCGTCGACATCATCACTGTAACGGGGTACGTAGCACTAAGTGTACCCTGGTTACATGAAGTGTGACACTTCACACTTCAGGAGTATGACATGTCATACTCCGGGATATTTGGTACAAGGTACCAAGGTCATTCAAAACCAACCATTGGTTTTATGACATTGCATTTCTATAGGTAACTGATAGTTTGTATTAACCTCAAACTTAACCTACCTATAAATATACTCAGTTTACAATCTACCTTATTTAGGTCACTTCGCCCTCTTTAATTAAAGAGGGGACCTGTGAACTGCCGTTCACTGAGAGTTTGTATACTCTCGGAAGATAACTTCCTCTAGCGCAAGGTGCTGTGTGACCCCGTCACACTTGGTAGCACTTGTAGTCAATCCACGCCATCGCGGGTAGACTACCTGAACCTCCGAAGTTCGTTGCCATGGATAGGAACGACTTCTCCCATATGAACGACTCTCAGTTCGAGTCGGTTCGGAAGATGGCAGGCATCTTCGGGATGGAGGCCCTGCAGAGCCTGGTGGTATCAACACCGGCTGAGCAGCTCGAGCGCGTCAATGCATTCGACGCGTACGAGCAGGGCCTCATCGCGCATGTGCGGGAGAACCTGCAGGCTCCGGCGGCGGGAGCAAACCCGCCTCACCCGAAGCCAATACGGCTGAAGGTAAAGCCGTATGAAGGGAAGGAAGGCGAGAACCTTCACTTCTGGGTCCGAGAAGTAGAGCTCGCGATGGACGCGGCTCTGATCTCGACCGAGCAACTGCGTGTTGCTTTTGCACTCTCCAACCTTAGCGGTCGTGCTAAGAGTTGGGTGTACACTCGGGAAGCGACATCCCCTGGATGTTTCACATCCTGGGCTCAGCTGTGCGAACAGCTCCGATCCGCGTTCCTCCCGGCGAACTACGAGTACCGCCAGCGTTCGCGCTTCCTCGCGTGTAAACAAGGAAGACGCGAACTGCACGAGTATGTGCAAGAGATACGGGAGCTCACGGCGTCCCTAGTGGGAAACCCACTTAATGAACACATCAAGATGACTGTGTTCATGGACGGCCTTCGAGTGGGCCCCGCACGCACTCAGCTGTTCCGGGTGCAGGCAAGCACCCTTGAAGAGGCGATTCAAGTGGCTCTTCAAGAAGAATACAGCCATCGCCAGGCGCGTACGCCGGCCTCAGCGTGGCCTGGGAGTTCCTTGTCGGCTCCCGGTCGAACAAGCCCCAACGGACCAGTTCCCATGGAACTCGGGTCCGCCGAACAGCGTGACATCCGCTGCTTCGGCTGTGGGAAGATGGGCCACTTCAAGCGCGACTGTCCCGCGGAAAGACTCCGCAGACGGTCCTTCCCCAAGCCCGTCCTCAAGGGTCGCTGGCAGAAGCCAGGATCCCGGGGACAG